TGCCAAATACTTCAAAATGCTGTCCCCATCCTCTAGGGTCACGAACTCTCAACCTGCAGTGAGAATGTTTAGAATGTGTTGGCGTTCCAAGATGAGACCGAGACCCTGATGTCATCTCTCGTGTCAAAAGCTGTGGTGGTACAATGCAAAAAAATTCTATTTAATTTGCTGCATGGTGGACCTAAAGCATCTCTTCAGCAAAGTCAGCATCATAAACTTTGCTATGTGTTAGTTATAGTTTATAATGTGACATCAGTAAGCTCAGTTGGATAACTGGTAACTGTGAATGCATGAAGTTGTGTGTTCAAATAATGTCCGGGGTGGGGTTTTTTTTTTTTCTTTCTCATGCTTCTCTTGAGAATTTTTTTCAAAGTTTGGTTTATTTTGTTTTTATTTTTTCAAATTGATAAGTAGACAGTAGAATACAATAACATAACATAAACTTTCTCTTACCAGAAAGTCTAACATGCTGGCAGCGATAGATCTCTAAGTATATAACAATTTCAATGTAATTTGTGATTGATTGAATCTTTTGCATTACTAAGCATGTAAATTAATATAAAATTTTTATATTTCATAGCCACATAAATTAATAATAATAATAAAATGATTACCTTCAAAAGTAAGACAGATATATTAAAATGGGGTTCCTGCACTAAAAACTTGAAAGAACAAAGAAAACAAAATAAATATACAGAAAATACAAAACTATTCTCTTAAAAGTAAATAGTACATAGAAAATGAGCTGCCTTGGTGGTGGTTTGCGCTTGTAGAGTGCTTTTGTTTATTTTTGTTTTGTTTTTCAAATGTTTAAACTTGGGTTTAAGGATATAATTCTTTTGAGTCAGATCTGCAGAGTGTGTTGGACGATTTGGGTCATGATGTCAGGGACACCACTCCCATCCAGGCACTCAGCTGTGGAACGTGACGGGCTGCCTGCAAGCTCCAACCTCACATTAGACCATGAATGAAGCCACGCAGAGAAAAATTCTTCTTGGCTCACTGTCAAACTAAGCTAAGAAGAATTCATGACCCCTGACATCTTAAGAGGGTGCGAGTGAGAAAATGGGCTTCTTTACCTACTGTTGAGGTCAGATGTCAGAGTGAGGACAAGAACGACCTCTGCAGAGCTGGCAGGGATTCAAGTGTTCAAAATGAAAAGCTACTGTGGAGTATGAACAAACTGAAAGCCACGTAGTCGAAACAGTCTTGCTGTGGATTATTTTCTAATTTAAATGCATTGATTTTCTACACATGGTCGAAAGTGTAAATGTCCAAGTTTACACCCTGACCTAACTGAATATTTAAAGCAGCCTCCGCTGCCGCAAAGATGTCGGATGGTTAGATCATCAGAGGACCACAAACCTAACCCTAGCCCTAATTCTGTCTAGCTAATCAGAATATCAAATTTGTGTTTTAATTAAATTGTTCTCCCGAGGCTTGACAATCAGGGAACACACTCATTTCAAGTCAACACACATCAAAAACTATTTACATTTTTCCCCAAAAAATATCATATTTGCCTTTCCCTTGGGGTAGAATTAGTATTCTCAGCCCTAAACTCTAACACTGAGTCCATACTCTCAGAATATGTTTTTGGCTCATGTGCCCCTAACACAGTTGTTACTGGGGGTACTTATAACCCCAAATGGCAAATCTTTCACTATAACGTTAGCTAAAAAACCACTGCAAGTTTAATTTTTTTTTTTATATGTCACTTTTATATGTCACTTCAAATGTGGAAGAATCATATAGCCACATAGAAGGGCTTTCCTGCACTTTCCTGTGTGTGTATGAATCACTAGTACTGAGGACACAGCTGAAAAACTCATACACTGACCCGAAACACCAACATCTGTAAAATGATGGTTTGAATGCAAGAGTAACTGTTTTAGTAAGCGATGATGGCACAACAACCAAAACTATTCTGCAAGTCAAGAACCAGCAATGGCAGAGGGCTTCCTACCCCACAGTAGAGCAGGGCGACATGACCAAAAATATTTATCACGATATACATTTGAAAATTTGCGATAACGATATAA